GAGTGAGTGAGTGTGTTACTGTGAGCGAGTGAGTGAGTGTGTTACTGTGAGTGTGTTACTGTGAGCGAGTGAGTGAGTTACTGTGAGTGTGTTACTGTGAGCGAGTGAGTGTGTTCCTGTGAGCGAGTGAGTGAGTGTGTTACTGTGAGTGAGTTACTGTGAGTGTGTTACTGTGAGTGAGTTACTGTGAGTGTGTTACTGTGAGTGAGCGAGTGAGTGTGTTACTGTGAGCGAGTGAGTGTGTTACTGTGAGCGAGTGAGTGAGTGTGTTACTGTGAGTGAGTTACTGTGAGTGAGTGAGTGTGTTACTGTGAGTGTGTTACTGTGAGTGAGTTACTGTGAGTGTGTTACTGTGAGTGTGTTACTGTGAGTGAGTTACTGTGAGTGAGTTACTGTGAGTGAGTGAGTGAGTTACTGTGAGTGAGTTACTGTGAGTGAGTGAGTGAGTTACTGTGAGTGTGTTACTGTGAGTGAGTTACTGTGAGTGTGTTACTGTGAGTGTGTTACTGTGAGCGAGTGAGTGATTGTGTTACTGTGAGCGAGTGAGTGTGTTACTGTGAGTGAGTTACTGTGAGTGAGTTACTGTGAGTGTGTTACTGTGAATGTGTTACTGTGAGCGAGTGAGTGAGTGTGTTACTGTGAGTGAGTGAGTGTGTTACTGTGAGTGTGTTACTGTGAGTGAGTTACTGTGAGCGAGTGAGTTACTGTGTGTGAGTGAGTGTGCTACTGTGAGTGTGTTACTGTGAGCGAGTGTGTTACTGTGAGCGAGTTAGTGTGCTACTGTGAGCAAGTGAGTGTGCTACTGTGAGCAAGTGAGTGTGTTACTGTGAGTGCGTTACTGTGAGCAAGTGAGTGAGTGTGTTACTGTGAGCGAGTGAGTGAGTGTGTTACTGTGAGCGAGTGAGTGAGTGTGTTACTGTGAGCGAGTGAGTGAGTGTGTTACTGTGAGCAAGTGAGTGTGTTACTGTGAGCAAGTGAGTGAGTGTGTTACTGTGAGCGAGTGAGTGAGTGTGTTACTGTGAGCAAGTGAGTGTGTTACTGTGAGCAAGTGAGTGAGTGTGTTACTGTGAGCGAGTGAGTGAGTGTGTTACTGTGAGTGTGTTACTGTGAGCGAGTGAGTGAGTGTGTTACTGTGAGTGTGTTACTGTGAGCGAGTGAGTGAGTTACTGTGAGTGTGTTACTGTGAGCGAGTGAGTGTGTTACTGTGAGCGAGTGAGTGTGTTACTGTGAGTGAGTTACTGTGAGTGTGTTACTGTGAGTGAGTTACTGTGAGTGAGTTACTGTGAGTGTGTTACTGTGAGTGTTTTACTGTGAGCGAGTGAGTGATTGTGTTACTGTGAGCGAGTGAGTGTGTTACTGTGAGTGAGTTACTGTGAGTGAGTGAGTGTGTTACTGTGAGCGAGTGAGTGAGTGTGTTACTGTGAGCGAGTGAGTGAGTGTGTTACTGTGAGCGAGTGAGTGAGTGTGTTACTGTGAGTGAGTTACTGTGAGTGAGTTACTGTGAGTGTGTTACTGTGAATGTGTTACTGTGAATGTGTTACTGTGAGCGAGTGAGTGAGTGTGTTACTGTGAGTGAGTGAGTGTGTTACTGTGAGTGAGTTACTGTGAGTGAGTTACTGTGAGCGAGTGAGTTACTGTGTGTGAGTGAGTGTGCTACTGTGAGTGTGTTACTGTGAGCGAGTGTGTTACTGTGAGCGAGTGAGTGTGCTACTGTGAGTGTGTTACTGTGAGCAAGTGAGTGTGCTACTGTGAGCAAGTGAGTGTGTTACTGTGAGTGCGTTACTGTGAGCAAGTGAGTGAGTGTTACTGTGAGCGAGTGAGTGAGTGTGTTACTGTGAGCGAGTGAGTGAGTGTGTTACTGTGAGCGAGTGAGTGAGTGTGTTACTGTGAGCGAGTGAGTGTGTTACTGTGAGCAAGTGAGTGAGTGTGTTACTGTGAGCGAGTGAGTGAGTGTGTTACTGTGAGCGAGTGAGTGAGTGTGTTACTGTGAGCGAGTGAGTGAGTTACTGTGAGTGCGTTACTGTGAGCGAGTGAGTGTGTTACTGTGAGTGCGTTACTGTGAGCGAGTGAGTGAGTGTGTTACTGTGAGCGAGTGAGTGTGTTACTGTGAGCAAGTGAGTGGGTTACTGTGAGCAAGTGAGTGGGTTACTGTGAGCGAGTGAGTGAGTGTGTTACTGTGAGCGAGTGAGTGAGTGTGTTACTGTGAGCGAGTGAGTGAGTGTTACTGTGAGCGAGTGAGTGTGTTACTGTGAGCGAGTGAGTGTGTTACTGTGAGCGAGTTACTGTGAGCGAGTGAGTGTGTTACTGTGAGCGAGTGAGTGTGTTACTGTGAGCGAGTGAGTGTGTTACTGTGAGCGAGTTACTGTGAGTGTGTTACTGTGAGTGTTTTACTGTGAGCGAGTGAGTGATTGTGTTACTGTGAGCGAGTGAGTGAGTGAGTGAGTTACTGTGAGCGAGTGAGTGAGTGTGTTACTGTGAGCGAGTGAGTGAGTGAGTTACTGTGAGTGTGTTACTGTGAATGTGTTACTGTGAGCGAGTGAGTGAGTGTGTTACTGTGAGTGAGTGAGTGTGTTACTGTGAGTGAGTTACTGTGAGTGAGTTACTGTGAGCGAGTGAGTTACTGTGTGTGAGTGAGTGTGCTACTGTGAGTGTGTTACTGTGAGCGAGTGTGTTACTGTGAGCGAGTGAGTGTGCTACTGTGAGTGCGTTACTGTGAGCGAGTGAGTGAGTGTGTTACTGTGAGCGAGTGAGTGTGTTACTGTGAGCAAGTGAGTGTGTTACTGTGAGCAAGTGAGTGAGTGTGTTACTGTGAGCGAGTGAGTGAGTGTGTTACTGTGAGCGAGTGAGTGAGTGTGTTACTGTGAGCGAGTGAGTGAGTGTTAGTGTGAGTGCGTTACTGTGAGCGAGTGAGTGAGTGTGTTACTGTGAGCGAGTGAGTGTGTTACTGTGAGCGAGTGAGTGTGTTACTGTGAGCGAGTGAGTGTAAATAAATGTAAATGTAAAATAAAAACTGCGCTAATGTGCGATAACATAATTGTCAGCGTTAATTAATGAATGTGTTAATGTGTTTCCGTGCCCAGCCCTAGTTCTTAGAGTTTTTATTATTAGGGCTGATCGATTAATCATGATTAGCTAATCGTGAAGACGGCGATTTAAGTGTGTCTGACCCGTTTTAAACGTCGCGCAGCTACAGATTCGTTGTGTTCGGTTGGGTCCCCCCCGTGCTGTTGTCCTCTGGAGGCTGAGGTATAAAGGTAGTTGTCGAGGGGCTGAGCTGTGTTTGTTCTGCCTGGTGTTCTCGGCCCTTGCTGGTGGTGACGTGCAGCTGAGCTAGTTGATTTTGCCTCGTTGCTAGTTTGGCTGGCGTTGCACGATGCTGGAGGGCGTGCTGTGCATGGGGGATGTTGGCTGGCGCTGGCGGCCTTCACTTCTCCAGCGATTGGGGGAACAGCTGACTTTTATCGGCGGGTGCACGGTGGCCTGGACAGCGCGTTTGCGGGATACACGGGGGGGGGCTGCCGGGCGTTGTGCGGGTCGGGGTTCATCACTTGCGCGCTGATGTTGATGATTGTGTGGCGTTTTGGTTGTTCGTTCCACAGCGGTGGGGTGCCGGGCGGCACTGTGTGCGCCGTGGTCGGTCTGGGTGGCGCTCTTCTGCGGGTTATTCCTTTTGCATTCTGATGGCAGTGCGTGCTCGATTGGCATTTGTTAGTCGGGGTCTTTCGCGTTTGCGTTGCGGTCCATCTGGGTGTCCACCCCTATTGGCTGCTGGGGTTCTTGCCTGCCCGTCGCTGGTGTCGGTGCGCCGTGGTTGTTGCGTCCCACTTTCACGGTGGTCCCTGGTAGAATTATTCCTGATGTTTGTCTTTGAGTTGTTTTAATTCATTGTCACAATGTCAGCTCTCATGGCGGTGCTGTGATGTTTATTCATGCTGCTCGACTGTTTCTCCTTTTCATTTCTCTCTCAGTTGTCTTCCTGTCAGCTGTTCGGCTGGTTGTCCCTTTGTTTTTGTTTGTCTGTCCCAACCCCCCCTCCTCCCGCTTCTCTTGCAGGTGTTTCCCTCTCTCTGTGCCGTTGGTGCGGTGTTTCTAGAGCCCCTCCCCCGTCTGTCCCGGTGACAAATACGCTGAATAAACAACATGGTATCCAGCTCCTCATGCTCTTACCAGGCTGCCGGGCAGGACAGGTGCAATAACAAGAGCGTTTTGCCGGTCTGATTTTGCTGACTTGTTCACATTTTGTTCAGTTGTCCTGATTTTTGTGCTTCTGCCTTGGTTAAGTAGCTACGTAGGTCAGCTGTTTCTTTGTCTTTTTTAATTGTGTTAAGAAGAGAAGTCTGCACAGGGTGTTTTATTTTGAAAATCAACCTGATTCTCTCTGCCGTTCTGTGTCTGACTTCCTGCTCTGTGCTGCTTCACACGACTTCCATCAAAAATAGAACGGCAGTGAATTTATTTATTTTTTTAATCGTAAATTGAATTAGATTTTTACCCCCAATCGCTACTCTGTGTTGAAATGATCTACAAGTCAACTTTGGATTCAGCGAAGAAGAATGATGGTGTGAGTTACCTGCGTGTGAGAGTGACCTGCGTGTGTGAGAGTGACCTGCGTGTGTGAGAGTGACCTGCGTGTGAGCGTGTGAGAGTGACCTGCGTGTGAGCGTGAGAGAGTTACCTGCGTGAGAGAGTTACCTGCGTGAGAGAGTTACCTGCGTGTGAGAGTTACCTGCGTGAGAGAGTTACCTGCGTGAGAGAGTGACCTGCGTGTGAGAGTGACCTGCGTGTGTGAGAGTGACCTGCGTGTGTGAGAGTGACCTGCGTGTGAGCGTGTGAGAGTTACCTGCGTGTGAGCGTGTGAGAGTTACCTGCGTGTGAGAGTTACCTGCGTGTGAGAGTTACCTGCGTGAGAGAGTTACCTGCGTGTGAGTGTGTGAGAGTTACCTGCGTGAGAGAGTTACCTGCGTGAGAGAGTTACCTGCGTGTGAGTGTGTGAGAGTTACCTGCAGGAGTAGGTGGGCTCTCCCACCTTGAACACGTGTCCACATAGCGGTGACGGCTGGTTCTTCTCCTGCAGGAGGGCCAGGCCGGCGGCCGGCTCCTCCCCCAGCAGGAGCCACTCCAGAGGAGCCAGGAGGAGTAGCTGACAGGCCAGATCCTCCCTCTGCTCCTCCCTCTGCTCCTCCCTGCTGCTGCACCCACTAGGACCCAGGCAAAGGATTCTGGGTACATACACGGCCAGGTGGCGGTACACTTCCTGCTGCAGGTCTGAGGCCACCAGCCACCGCTGAGGAGGAGGAGAGGGAAGGAGGGGAAAATTTCCATTTACTCATTTGGCAGACGTTTTTATCCAAAGAGACTTACATTTGAGCTGTCAGCACGTACAGCATCGGTGGGTAAATACCCAGGAAAGAAGTAAGAGTTAACGAATACTGCTATCAATACAAGAGAACTGTGAGAGGACAGAAGAAGAAGAGCACAGGAAGTGATGTCAGAGGTGTTATCAGAGGAAGTGTGCTCTGCAGAGTTTTCAGGAGCTTCTTGAAGTCAGAGAGGGACACCGCTGCTCTGATGGCCTGCTCCCATACTGTACTGTTCCCGTACTGTACTACTCCCGTACTGTACTGCTCCCATACTGTACTGCTCCCGTACTGTACTGCTCCCGTACTGTACTGCTCCCGTACTGTACTGCTCCCGTACTGTACTGCTCTGCTCCTGTACTGTACTGCACTGCTCCCGTACTGTACCCATACTGTACTGCTCTGCTCCCGTACTGTACTGCTCCTGTACTGTACTGCTCTGCTCCCGTTCTGTACTGCTCTGTTCCCGTACTGTACTGCTCCCATACTGTACTGCTCTGCTCCCGTACTGTACTGCACTGCTCCCGTACTGTACTGTTCCCATACTGTACTGCTCTGCTCCCGTACTGTACTGCTCTGCTCCCGTTCTGTACTGCTCTGCTCCCGTTCTGTACTGCTCCTGTACTGCACTGCTCCCGTACTGTACTGTTCCCATACTGTACTGCTCTGCTCCCGTACTGTACTGCTCCCGTTCTGTACTGCTCCTGTACTGTACTGCTCCTGTACTGCTCTGCTCCCGTACTGTACTGCTCCCGTACTGTACTGTACTGCTCCCGTACTGTACTGTACTGCTCCCGTACTGTACTGCTCCTGTACTGTACTGCTCTGCTCCCGTTCTGTACTGCTCCTGTACTGCTCTGCTCCCGTACTGTACTGCTCCCGTTCTGTACTGCTCCTGTACTGTACTGCTCCCGTACTGTACTGTACTGCTCCCGTACTGTACTGCTCCTGTACTGTACTGCTCTGCTCCCGTTCTGTACTGCTCCTGTACTGCTCTGCTCCCGTACTGTACTGCTCCCGTTCTGTACTGCTCCTGTACTGTACTGCTCTGCTCCCGTTCTGTACTGCTCCTGTACTGCTCTGCTCCCGTACTGTACTGCTCCCGTTCTGTACTGCTCCTGTACTGTACTGCTCTGCTCCCGTACTGTACTGTTCCCATACTGTACTGCTCTGCTCCTGTTCTGTACTGCTCCTGTACTGTACTGCTCTGCTCCCGTACTGTACTGCTCTGCTCCCGTTCTGTACTGCTCCTGTACTGTACTGCTCTGCTCCCGTTCTGTACTGCTCCTGTACTGTACTGCTCTGCTCCTGTTCTGTACTGCTCCTGTACTGTACTGCTCTGCTCCCGTACTGTACTGCTCTGCTCCCGTTCTGTACTGCTCCTGTACTGTACTGCTCTGCTCCCGTTCTGTACTGCTCCTGTACTGTACTGCTCCCGTACTGTACTGCTCCCGTTCTGTACTGCTCCTGTACTGTACTGCTCTGCTCCCGTACTGTACTGCTCTGCTCCCGTTCTGTACTGCTCCGCTCCCGTTCTGTACTGCTCCTGTACTGTACTGCTCCCGTACTGTACTATTGAAGCATCTCCAAACCCAGCAGGTTAATCAGCTGTCAGATAGTTAGTTACCTGCTGAGGCTCAGTGACACACTGACCTGGATATTACCTGACACACCTACTAACCCCTGCTAACACACAACACATCTGCTAACACCTGACATACATGCTAACACCTGACACACCCAAGCGAGAAGCTTCCCTTAAACCTGCATTCTATTGAACGACCAGCAGGGGGCGACTCTTCTGGTTGCAGAAAGAAGTGTGATTGTATGAAAGTCTCTGAGAAAATGTTTCTACTTCTCAGCTGATTTATTCCCCCAGTAAACACTTTCCTGATGATGATGTTTATGGTCTCAGTCGCTAGTTTTCAAGTCTTCTTCTTCTTCTTCAGCATGATATTCATTTAGTAAATTATGGTCACATTTAGAGGAACAGAGACCAGGAAGCAGGGGAGGCTTTAGAGCTGATTGACAAGTCGTTATCATGGCGACAGGATAGAGGTGACTCGTACCCATGGCACTGTGTAAATTTAACCAGCGCCGTTGAAAAAGCTTATTAGGAGTCGGCTGCTCATTTTCTCTGGTGAGTACATTTAGTTAGCTAGCCTGTTGTTCCCTAGACAAAGTTACCAGCCCTGTTAAAATACCTAGCTAAGCCAGCTAGCTAGCTCCACATACAGCCTTTAGCTCAACCGTCTCGTCCAAATATGTTCACGTCCAGTTCCGCTGGTTGCAAAAACTCAACATGGCGGCGCTCTATCGACCAAACTCGAGGCATCACCATGACTACGTCCACTTCTTTTATACAGTCTGTGGACACACATGCTAACACAAAACACACCTGCTAACTCCTGACACACAAGCTAACACACGAGACACATGCTAACACCTGACGTACCTGCTAACTCCTGACATACATGCTAACACCTGACACACAAGCTAACACACAACACACCTGCTAACTCCTGACATAAATGCTAACACCTGACATACACACAGCGGCGGCTGTGGTTCAGGAGGTAGAGCTTTAATCGGAAGGTTGGCGGTTCAGTCCCCGGCTCCTCCAGGCTGCATGCTGAAGTGCCCTTGGGCAAGATGCTGAACCCCGAATTGCCTCTGGCGGCTGTTCCGCCAGTGTACGAATGTGTGTTAATGTTAGCACTTAGTCTCAGTGTACGAATGTGAGTGAATGGTGAACGCAGATAGTGTAAAAGCTCTCTGAGTGGTCGAAAAGACTAGAAAGGCGCTATACAAATACAGAGCATTTACATTTACACACCTGCTAACACAGAATATCAGTTGATATAAATCTGATGTAAAGTTACATTAGCGTGATAAAAGGTTATATCCTCCACCTTTATTGTGCCTGACTGTATGGAGACCAGACCAGTTACACCATGTTTCAGGGCTGCGGTCTGAATAAACACAACAGGTCACGTGTCACAGCCTGAGCACCTGTGTTATCATGTAGAAAGTTTATTAGTTTAATGGCTAACAGCGGCTAACAGCAGCTAGCAGCAGCCAGGTGTCGCACCAAACTCTGAGGAGTTTACCTGCTGTT